TGTCTGTCTGTCTGTCTGTCTGTCTGTCTGTCTGCCTGTCTGTCTGTCGGTCTGTCTGTCTGTCTGTCTGTCTGTTTGTCTCCACAGCTACCCCTTTCTCGCAGCCATATTCCTCTAAAGGGTGCCTTGTTTGCCCAGTTTGTCTTATTTTTGACTAAAAATTGTGAAAGAACCTTGTCCAAATCACGAAAGAGGTGTCTTTAATTTCGACTGGTTTCGGAGGGGGATGCTCAAGGTCTCCATTCATTCCACGATGGGCACAAAACATTCGGTCGCTGAAACGCTCTCAAAGTTTTGAAAACGACTTTAATCTAATACCTTTTTCTATCATTCTCTCTCTCTCTCTCTCTCTCTCTCTCTCTCTCTCTCTCTCTCTCTGTCTCCTCTCTCCCTCTCTCTCATCATCCCCCAGCCCTCACGCTCTTCTCCCCTTTCTCTCTCGTAAGCCCCCCCCAACCATCACACACACAACTCAAAAGCACTTGTTTCTTCACGAAGATACCCTCGCCTGCCTGTCCAGTTTTCTCCTTCCGTCGGAGATTCGAAACACAATAAAGGGACAAGCAGAGAAAAATATACTGGTTATCAGTTTTCTCTAAAGCTGTGTTTCCTTTCGACTTGCTAGTGATCCCAGAACGATTTTATTTATTTCTCTCTTTTTGGGCTTATAAAAATCTTTATTTAAAAAAACTATTTCTGTTTGGTGTATAGAATCTTAGTGTGTGTACCCTGGCCTTGAGAGAATTGTGTGAAAACCCATGTTCTGTGGGCAAGAGACAGGAGAGGAGTTGGTCACGAACTCACTCCTGCAGGGAAGCTTGAACGTCGACCCAGTGAGGGTCTAGATAATTTAAAAAAAATCTTCATAAAACACTTCGGCTTGGTCAGATGTCCTGCAGATATCCAACTTCAGCTCCTTAGAAATGACATAAATAAAAATGATAAATAGCATTTGTATACAGCATATCCCCGCTCGACAGTAAGCTCTTTGCGCTTTACACTATATAATTATTATTACTTCTGCAGACAATAGAACACTCATAAACATTCTCAAGTTCCCTAGAAGATCACATACCTTTTGTTTAGTAGGGTGCTCTATTTCAAAAGAACTTTCTGGAGGTAAAGAACACACCCGTTCACTGTATCTCACCTTCTCCGTATGGCAAAGGTCACCAATGCTGCAGGTACACTACGCCGCTCCGCTCTTTAACCGATTCGATTCTGCTCGGAAAGAGCATGAGTGGAAACGTAACCTTACTCAGGATTTCCTTGGCGGGTTTCCTCTCTGTAAGAGTAATTCAATTCAAACGCGACGTCTTTTCGAGGGAGGATGAGGAAATTGAACACCCAGGAAATCTGACAATTCAGGACAACTTTACTGGTTTCAATGGGCATTTACTTTGCCGGGTTCCTTTCAGAGTACGGGGTCTGTCCATGGGACTCTGGACAAACAGAGTTCTGAGGTCGCGTGTCTCAGAAATAGGAACAAGAAAAACCGGATTTTGTGATGGCTGAAGCCGCCATATTGGATTACGTGTGAGCACAAATCAAACTATATCTGTCGGCGTGGGTGGGGGTATCGTGGAGGACTAGTGAACACTACTCACATTTTCCCAACAGAGAAGGTGACGTAGTTGTAACATCGTGTTGACCGCCCAGCCCCACGTAATACGAACAATAAAATATTAAACAAGGGATGGCTGAAGTAATTACATCTGTGGTCAGTGGCGGGGAAAGCCAAACGAAATGGTTAGAACTTATCTGAAACTATAGGTTAGAGATATTTTTGGTATATTTATTGGTATCTGGAGAGAAATAATGACAATACCAATAATGATAATAAGAATGATAAAAAATTAATGAAATGACAATAAAAACAATCATAGCAATAGTAATAAAATATTGTTAATGATATTAATGACAACAATAATGCATTTAATAATAATACAAATATTATTATTATTATCATTATTATTATTATTGTAATAGCAGTATAATAATTGCATTTATATTAATGCATATCCATGCTCTGCAATCATTCCTTGCTCTTTATAACTAAACGTATACTGCAGAGTTTTTCATGTCTTGGAGCATTGCATGTGAGTGTTTTCCTGTAGCTTATTATCGTACATCGAAATATTACATTATGTTTGCATTTCCAATTCCAGACTCCATACCGTTCACTGTTCATGTCCTTTTGTAAATGGTTGAAGTTTGTGATATAGAGAACAGCGATGAATTAAACAATAGCTTTTGGATAAACAGGGCTTGTGGTAGATGTCACAGAATATGGCACTATGATAGACATAGTAAGATTCATCAGTTTCATTTAACAGGACATCGAAAAACTTATAATGAACCCCCAAAAACATCGGAACGTGTTTGACCCCTCCCCAAAAACAAAACAAAACAACAACAAAACAAAACAAAGACCCCAACCAAACCTGACAACACTCTTGATGCTTATTACCACTTCGACAATTATTATAGTTTAGATACATAATCCTGCTTTTGACACAAAGTGGATCATATGAGCAAGACAAAGGTAATGCACCATTAATGCCAAAACACTCGTTTTTTTTTCATATTATTGTCTCTTTGCCTTTAGAGGACAGCACTTGTGTTGATATTTGTAGATCTTCACGCTTGTTCTTTCTTGAGCAATACATTTATATTATACCTCAGGGTTATTTCGGGGATTCCCATTTGCACTATCGCACTGTGTACTCTAGGCAGGGAAAAGATGACTTAATCGGTATAAGTAAAGTTTAACTACCTCTGTATTCGCGAATCAGGATGATCATATCACACTGCTTCCTGTTCTTGCAAGGCATAACTGCTACTCCACTAGTACATACACAACGGCTTCACTCGGATGTTGCACACTAATTCGACCAGTTCAAATTGAGGGGGCTAAACTTTACGTTAACCGCTTTTTTCCTGCCCTTGATATGATGATCTGTACTTTGTTACGTGCTCCGACAGCAGACTGTTTGTTCTTATTGCTGATTCAAGTGGACTTTAGTCTTTCCGCAAAACGCGTATATGTATAGACATACATTGGTTGTTGCTGAGGGTTTAAAAAAAATATTTGCTGGCTTCTGTGTCAAACCAGTTAAATAGATCCCAACTCACATACCGAAGGCTGAATTTAGTCCCTATGTTGTTGTTGTTTTTTGTTGTTGCTGTCTTTATTGCTGTTTTATTTGTCGCTGTAGTTGCAGCTGTTACTACTGCTGTTGTTGATGTAGCAATTTATGTTTTTGCAGTTTTGCTATAGTTGCCATGGTTGTTATTAATGCCGTTGTTGTTTTTGTTGATGATCTTGTTGACGTTATTGTTGCTGTAATTGTTGTTGTTATTGTTGTTGTTGTTACTGTTGTTGTTATTGATGTTTTTTTCGTAGATGCTATTGTCGTTGTTGTTGTCGTCGTTGCTCCTGTTATTGTTATTGTTATAGCAACTGCTAATGCTGCAACACCACGTAATTAGTACTTTATCCTATGTTAGGTTGTGAACTGCTCCTCAATATTGAGAAAACCAACTGTCTCTTTTTAACGTGTTGTTCTGCTTGCGGGGAAAACGTGAGGATGGCGCCATTTCTTACGGTAGTGGGATGCTACTCGTAAGCCGTAGTATGTTTAGGAGGGAGGGGGAAAGAGGGGGGGGGGAGTTCAAGGGCCATGTCACTTTGTCCATATATGCTTCTGCAAAATTAGAGAAAAAAAGTTATAAATAGAATCCATATCCCAAAACTCAGAGTATGGTGCCTTTTCTCAGAATGATCGTCAATGTCCAGTAGAACGTTATTAAATTGTATAATAAACGACTCTCACGTCATCATTCTAGAGTGGTCCTTATAATGACGTCATTATATGATGTCACCACCTCGGAGACAAAGATATCACTTGTTATTTCTAAAATGACGTCATCACAACAAAACTGTTAATAAAATAACGCCATGATCCCCAGAATGGTCACTAGAGTCGTGTCACCACCTCAAAGACCGGCCACGAGAATGATTCCATTCTGTCAGCAGATTGACCTCACTCCTCCAACGGTCAGTAGAATGACGTCATCACACCAGAGTGTTAAGTAGAATGACGTCACTCCTGGAGCGGATAGTAGAATGGTGCAGGCTCATAAGAGCTATCAGTACTATGACGTCACTCCTCGGAGTAGTCTGTAGAATTACGGGATGTCCCTCGTCAGAGTGGTCGGTAGAAAGAAAGGACCACCCCAAAACGGTCAATAAAATGCCGTCACTCCTAGAGTAGTCCGTAGAATGATGGGATACTGTCATAGCAGTCCAAAAGTTAAGACCTCACAGAGGAACCCCGTCCGATTCGGAGTCCTGGAAGACGTAGAGAACCACCTTGTTGTCTGCCGCGTCCCTCACGTGCACGGCATCGGCCAGAGATGACCTGTGTTTGAGGATGCCGTGAGGGGGAGACCGACTAAGGTCCGGAGGGGTCATAGGGTCCATCTCTGGTCCACGACCCAAGCTCGAAAACGAGTACTTTTTGTCTAAATCGGGTGGAGATGATCTGTACCCGTTTGTGTAGGCGGAATCGTAGTAATGCGATCCTGAATTGTCTTTGTCGGCGCCGTTGTCGTAGACGTTGCTACCGTCAACCCCTTCGTAGTTTCGGATATTGTTGTGGACAGCGTCCAGTAAGGTGTTCCGACCGTTCATATCGGGTATTTCCGTAAGTCCCAGGTCCTCGTCACACACCTCGTCCCCATACTCGTCGTCTCCTCCCCCTCCTCCTCCGCTCCCGCTGTTCCTGTGGTTGTAGCGGAGGGAGCTCTTCGTGCTCTTCCTCCGCCCCGATGTCCCGTCTCGACTCACATTCCTGCACGACCCGCCCCGCATTTTGGCGTAACGGCGCCCGAAAAACACGCGCATGAAAGTGTTCCTGAAAATCGCGCTGAGAGAGCAGTAGAGAATGAAATTCACGGCGGAGTTGAAGGCAACAAGGCTGTCTGTAATCTCGCGGATTCCCTTGACCATGTAGTCCTCCTCCACATAACCCTTGCCGAAGAACGTGGACATGACCGCGTCAGGAGTAATACACAAAATAAAAATGACCACCATTGCGATGAGCATCAGGGTGATGCGGTTCCTGGAACTGAACTTCTTTCCCCTCACCCTCTCCTTCCTCAACACGTTGATGATGCGAGCGTTGATGAAAACTAGGATGAAGACTGGGATGATCCCTCGAAGAAAGTTCTGCACCCAGGTGTATGGAATCATGAACTGTCTGTTCCTTCCTAGTTCTGTGACCACCAGCTCCATGCAAGTCACGTTGTTCTTGAGGTCATGGACAGTCTGCAAGCGGTACCGGAAGCCTGAGGGGATGGACAGTAGAATCATGATGACGTTGACAGAGATGACCACCGTCCTGGCCTTGGGGATGGTGCACAGGCTCTTGGAGTGGGACGGGTAGCAGACGGAGATGTAGCGGTCCATGGCAACTGAGACAGTGAGCCAGGCAGTCACGCTCACCGCCACCTGGAGACGAGATGGAGATGGACGGTCAGTGCAAGGTGGAGGGATATTCGGGGAGGTACCTTTGTGCCAGATGACAGAACGGACTTAGGAGAAGAGGCTTTTATATACAATAATAGTAAAAGGCGACTTCAGGTTAGAAGATAATACAGATAATATACACTAGTAAGATGATACCAGAAATATTAAGATAAAAAAATTAATGTACACACATGTACACTGATCAGATAGAAATACGACAAAGAAATAATGTACAATTAAAAATTATATATCATTATTCAATATATATTTAAACAAGAAATATGATAAGAGGATAACACAACACTTAATAAGGAAAAGTAAGATATGAAAATAATACATAAATGATAGCTAAGTAAAAAGATAAGCAAATTATAAAAACAATGACAAAATGAAAAATAAGATGGGAAGATAACAATTGATATTAGCACAGTATAGATGAAAATGATAACAATAGTATTCCATGATTAGGTGGGAAATTAGATAAAAACTTAAAATTATAAATAAGATATAAGAAATTGAGGGTGCGGTGGCGGAGCGGTCAGTGCGCTCGTCTCCGAAGCGGAAAGTCCGGGTTCGAGCCTCGGTTCGGACACGGATTTTTTTCGCCCCCTCCTACCCACGCAGCAGTAATCGGTACCTGACTTCGAGTCGGGGAGGTAAAGGCGGCATGGAAAGGAACGGGCCACCCTACCACAATATGCCGAAGGCCCAGGAAGTTGTCTCACTAACATGGCAATCCCCAATGTCTGGGTCGGTTGCGGGAACAGCTTTACTTTTTTTTTACCATAATAAATTAGAACAAGAAACAAAGTGAAGGAAATTAAACATGAAAATGAAGAAAAACTTAAAACAGGGAGAAGGTAGAGAGTAAATTAAGGCAATAAATGAGAAAATGTAAGGCGAAATAAGATATATTTCAGGAATCCTAGTAATGAAGAAGGGAAATTGGTAATGAAGATGAAATCACATAAAATTTGGAAAAATAAGAGAAAAAAAGAGAAAATATTATTAGAGTCCAAAAGTGTACATGTTGGAAAATATGTAAGAATATACATGTGTGATAAGACGCAGGGATATTGGCTTAGCAGGAATATGTAGGGCAAAAGAAATTGAGGCGACATAAAAAAAAGTAAATAATGTCGTTTAGGTGCATTGCAATCCGCACGAAATAATCTAGATCAATTATGAAATAAAAGATGATGCAAAAGAAAGAGGAGATGCATGTGATACAGTGGGATAGTGTGAGGTAGATAGAAACGTGATTGAGGTGGGGTTTGTGCATTTCATGCTTCATATCCCTACCCCTGACCTGCCCCTTCCTAGCACACAAAAGGACACACAAACAGATACACACATACACACATGCGAACATACATACACACAGACACACACACACACTCTCTCTCTCTCACACACACACACACACACACACACTCTCTCTCTCTCTCATACACACACACACACACACACACACAGACACACAAA